ATATTATTAACTTAACAGAACTTATTATTATATGATTATTATATTTAGAAAAAAACATAGGTTTCTGTAAAGTACTTGAAGAATAATTTTTTAAACCAGACTGATAAGTTACGTATTGCTGAAGAAACAATACTGGGCATAAAAATTTTGCATAATGATTTAAACAAATTTTAGAAATGTTAAATAGCTTGTAAATCATCAGTAATTTAAATTTAACAATTTTAGTACCATCCGATTCGTTTTGATGAGACAATTCGAATAATATCAAAATCCTTAAATTTCATTTACTGTATCATGAGATATAGTAAAATTTTCGAAAACAAGCCCTTATTTTACTTTTTTGGACCCTTATTCGTAAATTCCCCTAATTTTTAACTACTACTTTGCAGAAACCTTTGATTTTGCTAAATATAATAATTATATAATTATTATATGATAAATATATTTAGCAAAATCAAAGGTTTCTGCAAAGTAGAAAATATTAAATAATTACCCTGTCCTTATTATATGCTTAAAACATGATTAAACATTAAAAATAACTTTTCAATATACATATAGAATTCAGAAAACATTTTGTTCATGAAAAGATGATGATGATTACTTATTTGTATTCGGATCAACTTACTTACATTGTACCTTACGTAGCTCCAGAAGTTTTGCGTACTAAAAACATACAAGTGATGCAGATATATACTCGTTAGGAATTGTTTTATATGAAATAACAGCGGGTTTATCTCCATACCATAATATTCTGCATGATAATAATTTGGAGATTAAAATTTGTAATGGCTTAAGGCCAGAATTTCCAAACCAAGCGCCAAAATTGGTTTCACATATCATTAATAGGATGAATTAATTTCACTATCGTGTTAGTGGTATGTATGATTAACGAGCTTAGCATTTATTAAATAATATGACAATTAAGTTTTGTAAGACAATTTTCACTTCTAAGCTAACCGTATAATTTATTAAAAAGAACGTGTCATAAAAACAATTCATTTAAGCCTGCATTCATTAAACATGCATAACTTACAGTATATTCATTTACTATTACAATTTATATTAACTGATTAGTTTACAATTCATTTCTCTAATATATTGTAAATTATAGTTCCTGATTTGAATGTATTATTAAAAACAATGAACAGGATTAGAGTGTCCAGAATTCTGCGGTGCATAATTCTGCTCGCTCTAAAAATATTTTTTTGCATTGTATTTGGTTTTAAAAAACGATTAAAGTCACGTTTATCTTACGGTGACAATACAAAAAGATATTTTTAGAGCGAGCAGAATTATGCACTGCAGAATTCTGAACACTCTAAACAGGATAATTACATAATATATGTAGGTTACATATTTCAATTGATAAAGCCAAATTTCATCAATTTATACAATTTGGAGTTTAAAATAATTTCAAAGAACAAGATTCATATTTGTTTAATTCACATTAATTCTTTCATGTTTGACCCAGTAGCGCGTCAACCAAGTTTCCACACTTTATTTTGGAATCCTAATATTTCAATTAAAAATTTTTTCGTTATTTTAATCTCGCAAATTAAAAATTTCAATTTGAAAAATCATTATAGGTAAATCAATGACTGCAATTTATTTTGGATTTTTCAATAACTTATGTCTTCGTCAAAGTCCATTTAGAATATATATAAAATAATACTTTCTCAATCTAAATTTTAATCTAAAAATCCATGCAGCCGCGAATTAAAAAAAAAACCTATGCTAATAAAAGGAATAATAAGTGCTTAGCTGAAATTGCAGCTAAAAGTGAAAATGACATAGAAATACTAACAGCAAAAGTAAAAAACATGAATACACGTTTAGAAGCTCTTAAAAAAGAACCAGCCTTGGACTCAATAACGGAATTAGCCTATATGGATCAAATATCATTGAAAATGGAACAATTCGATAAGCTAAAAAATTATAAAAAATTGGAAGAAAAATTGGAAGAATTAATTAAAGAAAATTATAATTTACAAATCGAATTATTTGCGCTAAAAACGCAATCTTTAAATAATATGTTTAATTTAGAGAAAATAAAAAAAAAAGTTAAAAATGATTTACAACTTAATGAAAATATAAATGAAACTCGAAAAAGTAATGTAAATAAATTCACTAGGAATTTTGAAAAAGACTTTAATAAATTCACTAAGAATTTTGAGAACCAGGTTAATAATGATCAAATCAAAAAAATAAATTATCAAGAAATTGTTGAAAAAAGAAGCAAACATAAAATGAAAGAGATAAATAACTATTTAAAAATACAAGAAAATACTTTAAAAAATAAATTTGATAACAATAAATTAATGATAGAATCAAGCTTTTATATTAAAACACCAAATGATTTAGATAATATTATATATAACTCTGAAAAAAAAGTAAAAGAATTAAATGATGAAGAAAATTCAATTAGAGATGAGCTTGAGAAAACCATTAAGCATACAGAAAAGTTGCGTCATAATAAAGATAGTGATTACAAATCCCAAATATTAAAACTGGATACACAAATTGAATATTTAAAGGAATATTTGAAAAATAATAATGATTATAAAAAATTGAAGAAGTTTTAGAAAATGAAAAGAGAGAATTGCATGAAAAAAAAAATCTGTATAAAGCAAGACAAAAGTCTTGAATTGAGATCTCGATTTATACAATATACTCTATCAAATTTATATTTTGGTAAAATTAATATACATAACAATGATTCCTGGTAGAATTAATTCATAACTCTGGTAAGTATGATTTTGATATATTTGATTCACGAATAAATGAGAATGACAATAGGGGAGATTTTTATAATAAAAACACAAATGAAGTGCTACAATAGAATTAAAAGAAATAAAGTTAACTGATAAGCCGATTATGGGAATTTTCAAATTTATTCCAGGATAACCTGACATTTATAAATCTAGAATGACAAAAAATGTCTAATAAAAGTTTTTTAGAAATCCTAACTGTAAAATTTAATGATGTAATCAAAGGTGCATCATTAAGTGACATTAAATCCTATTTTAAAAACTTTGATCAAACCAATATTTCTAATGCATTTAATGCTACTAGAAATAAACAAAAAGGAGTTATTACTGCTAAAGAATGGCCTGCTTTTACTAAAAAGTTTTATAATTTACAAGTAGAATCACAATCAGGTTTTAAAAGTTTGCTTAACTATGAGGATAAAAAAAATCAAATAAAAAGAGATAAAAAGGAGTTAATATGTGAAAGCTTTGGTTACTTAAATTTAAAAGATGCAATTAAAGACTACAATAATGAAAATTATAAGTCAGCTTACCAATCATTTCGAGGCCTTACTTGTGAAGGATCTAAAAACGCTACTGATAATGAAGATAATCAAATATATTGTGTTGCCATGTATTATCTTGCACATTGCTATTTAAATGGGAATGGTACTGAAAAAAATGAGAAATATGCTTTAGCTATCTTGAAAAATATAATAAATTTAGTGCTGCATTAAAGGTTTATGAATTGTTGGATTCAAAAACTAATATAGAGAAATTAAGAACATAAAATTATCTAATTAGTAAAACTAAAAGTAGTCAGGTTTATTTACTTAAAATTTTTTCTTTATGTGTCTTTTTATGAATCTTATCTTTGTTTTATTCAGAAAATTTATGCTATAATAAGATTTACATATGAAAAAAGTTATTAAACTTTAGCAACAACGGTAATTTTTATTTTATAAAATAAAATTTTTTAAACTTGCTATCATAAACAAAACAAATTTTAAACCTAATCAGAATTTATCATGATATGAGTGATAATGGCCCATTTAATTTTCGTAATTATTATGTATTATCCCTGTCACATGTCACGGATAGAATTTGAACTCAGTTCATTCTCCTACGGCCCCCGGGGCCGTAAAAAAGAAATGATTTATTTTTTCGGTATATATTTGTTGATAAATTTGAGTCTGTTGAAATGATAAAGTTGTTATTTTTTTTTAAGGGAAAGTGTTGAAACAGAAAGCCATATGGGCTAATTTTTTCAGTAGAACTGATTACTTATAATTCTGGCCAAATTTGCAGATTGTTTGGCCAGATGGCTTTGGCCAAATAATCTACAAATTTGACCAGAATTATCCCATATTTTTAAAGGCCCCGAAAGCTAATTTATTACTGAAATTACAAAAAATGCTGAATTTGTTCTCCGACGGCCCCCTTGATGCCGTAGGAGAATAAACTCAGGTGCTATGTAAATATTGGCGTAAAAAATTTTTACATTATTCCGCCGATATGTGCCACACTGCGCTCAAGGCACCAGCTTATTCTCAATTCACAAAAAACTCAATAGAAATTTGGTGAGATCTTCAAAAATTCAAATGTGTGCCTTTTGGTTGTTATTTGTGTCTCATTTAGGAAATTCCTGTGAAAAATAAATCTGAGTCACGTTTATTAAAATCTAAGTTCGTTCATACAACGCAAAGTTTATGCTAAATTTTTATAATTTTAACAATAATAAAATAAATTGAAAAATGCCTCAACATAATGATCATGTGGGTGGATTGTGATTGGCATATAAGTGTCATGTAAATATCGAAGATTCTGTGGATTTGAAAGTTGCAGAATTTGATTATAAAATAAATGGATTAAGTAATAAAGGTCAATGTTTTGAATCATTTGTGAATCATTTTTATTCATAAATTATAAATGCGACAATTAAGAATCGCTAATTTTATCTTAAAATAATCATTAATCCCTGGTGATGCGGTGGAAATTGTGGTTTAATTATTAAATTCAGAAATTAGTTATTGAATTTAAGATTTAATTTAATTTGTTAAATCTTTAGTTTTCACAACTTGACTATGTATTAATTCTTCAGATTGTAATGAAAATTTTATTCTATTAAATTGAAATTTCAATTTTCAAGAATAATGCGCTTCAAGAATAATACAACAATCTATTGCTGAAATTCTCGCTCTAAAAATATTTTTTTGTATTGTGTTTAGTTTGGAGATAATACAAGCTAAAATATTTTTAGAGCGAGCAGAATTATGCACAGCAGAAATCACCGCAGTGTAGAGTGTCCAGAATTCTGCGGTACATAATTCTGCTCGCTCTAAAAATATTTTTTTATATTGTATTTGGTTTTAAAAAATGATTAAAGTCACGTTTATCTTACGGTCGGTGACAATACAAAAAGATATTTTTAGAACGAGCAGAATTATGCACCGCAGAATTCTGGACACTCTAACCGCAGTGTTATAAGATCTTATGTCCGTTAAGTCATGTGATATTGTCAAGATACTTGGTTAGAAAGAAAAATCTAAAAAGAAAGGGTATACCCCAATACAATCAGTTTTTACAATTCACTACATATATATCAAAGGAATTTTAAATTATGTACTAATATTTCTATTACAATATAACAAACTGACTTCAAGTTAAATTTAGTCTATAGTTTTGTAAAATTAGACAACTCAACATCTCTAGTTATTACTGAAGGATGTGAATATTATTTAAAATTTATACAGATTTTAAAGTGAAAGTGATGTTAAATTTTTATTATTGTTGCATTTTCTGATTGAAAAAATTTTCAAGACTTTAATTTGGGCCAGCATTAGATTTTAATTTAGGCCAGCGTTAGATTTTAAGCATTAGACTTTAATTTGGGCCAGTGTTAGATTTTAATTTGGACTAGCATTAGACCTAAATTTGTATTTGCGCTTAGACTTTAATTTGGGCCAGTTTAAGACTTTAATTTGGTACAGCATTAGACTTTAATTTGGGCCAGTGTTTTAACTTTAATTTTAGACTTTAATCAGGGCCAGCATTAGATTTTAATTTAGGCCAGCATTAGATTTTAATTTGGTCCAGCATTAGACTTTAATTTGAGCCTAGGGTTGGGCATTAAATAAATTACATTTAATGCCAGATTTATAAAAGTTTGGCCAAAATTAGATTTCTGAAACTTTCACTAAAATTACATAAAATTACGACCCTAAATACTAGCACCAGTGTTAGACTTTAATTTCAGCCAGCATTAGACATTAATCTGGGCCAATGTTAGTCCTTAATTTGGGCTAGCATTAGATCTTATCTTGGGCCAGCGTTAGACCTTAATTTGGGCCAGCATTAGACTTTAATTTGGGCTAGCATTAAACCTTAACTTGGGCCAGCGTTAGACCTTAATTTGGGCCAGCGTTAGATTTTAATTTGTCCAGCATTAGACTTTAATTTGGGCCAGATTTTAATTTGGACTAGCAAGGGCCAGAAGAAATGTAACTTGTCTAATTTGACGATGCAAACGGCAGTTGATTCATAAGCTACTCATATAGTTTTGATTTAATTAGTTGACCAATGTGAAATGAATGATTTTAATACAACATTGTTTGTTATAAATATCACATGGTGTTCTCGCTAAATAATAAACCAAAATAAAAACAATAAAAACTAACATATATAAATGCAAGATTGATCTGATTTATAAATACGGGTTCGAATATTATAAACAATTCCGATACCAGAAATTTGTTTAGGGCCATTGTAAATAATTTCAGTAATATTCGCCTTATAATCATCAAATTTTCTGGCCAATACAGTTTTATTTTGTGGATCATAAGTAACACCATAAAGTAAAATATTTTCATTGATGCCCAAACGTGCTGTTTAGAGTCAAGAATGTACTCATCTAAATCTAATGTTGTGAGGTATTTGTAAAGTCTCTGAGTGGTCGGGCCGGAAACATTAATGGTAAAGTTGTCATTTTTTCAGCATTAGCAAGTTTTTTATGGAACGTGTGACGCGAAAGCTTTGCTTCGTTTTAAGCCGGGTTTTTGCCATGATTAATGAAGGAATTATTTTATTAGATTTGAAATTATTATTAATAAAATAAGCAAATTAGAACTGGGAGTTGTAGCACTTTATACTTTTTTCAAAAAATATAATGATTAGAAATTCTAATTACTGTACCATTCGGAAAAGACTTTGCGATAAAACACAAATGAAATTTTTACGCGACATAATTCTGTATAACACGGTCTATTGACCGAATGTTTAATTATGAGATAAATTTTACTTGTGCAAGTTTTGTACTAAAATATACGCCCGAAGGTTAAAAATATGAATGAACAAAGAAAGTTGGTACCTACGCGGGTTTACGTAATTGTATTAGTAATGTATTTTCAAATAAAATAGTTATCAGAACAATATTGTCGTACGCGTAAGCGGCGGTTGTTCTAATTTTTTTACGTAATTTTACTTGAAAATTCTATGAAACACAGCTTAATCAATCTACCTTAGTATAATTTAATCGGAGTTCTATCATATTAAACAAAGAAATGGAAAACTACGCGGTGGATATGACTATTTCTAATCGGAATATCGCGTGTAGTTTATTTTAAGGAAGATGTACTGCAATATATAAAAATTTTCGAAGGATTCAATTTCGATTTTGTCTTACACGAAAGGCTTCATCTTTGTTTTAACATAAATCCCAAAAATGGATTAATATATTATTTAACATTAATTAATATTAAAATTTTCGTGAATAAAATTTTGAAATATGTAAACTTTATTAATTGGAAGCCTTTGCTTACCTAATATTTAAACTCTTATTACTAATGAAATTTGCACAAAAAATAATATATATAAATTTATATTATAAATGTACCTTTCCAAAAATATATAAAAAAAGATGTCTCAAATTCCTGATTCTACAAAGCATAAATGGTAAATTAAATCTTAAGCCAGAGAAACTCCGTGAAGTAAATAGACTCGTGGCAAATGCTAAAAGGTGCATTTTAATTTAGTGCGGGGAATTCCCGTAAGTAATATCACATTCTTCTTGAGGTTTCAACAGCTATTAATTTTAAAATTTTATATTTTTAGTATAATTATATATTTATATATGGCAATATAAATATCAAAATAGATCCGATAATATTAAATTTTAATTGATGGTCTATGTCTAAAGCGATAAAATTTTATTTATGATACGCCAAATGATTAACCATATCAGAGCATGAAACAAAGAAATTGGTACTTATGGGCACGCGTTAACGTAATTTGTATTATAATCAAAATGTTGCACCCAACAAAGGTAATAGTTTGTGTAAAAAAAAAAATGTATAAATATAAGAATAAAAATTTATCATTCTTAATTAAGAGATAAAATGCAACAAAATGGTGAAATAACTATATCATACAATAATGCAAATGAAAATTATTCTATTATATCGCTTGATAAAAAATATACAAATGGAAGAAACTATGAAATTGAAGTTTTTAATTTTTTAAGAAATAAAGGGTACCATATGACACTTTCTGATAGCCATCCAATGATTTCAAATTTCAGATTTTTTAATCTATCTAATAAATTAGCTTTACAAATTGGAAATTATAGAATCACAGGAGATGGAGGTTGTGATCTCATTGGAGATAAAAACGGAGTTCAAATTTTTGTACAGGCTAAATCGAGTAAAACAGGAAAATATCCAAACCTAAAAAAAGAATACGTAAAATTTATAAAAACTCTGGAAACTCGAAGATCCACTGAAGAGATAGGAATCTTTGTTGTAACAGATAATATTAATATTGAAAAATTAAAAAATATCATTTTAGCTGAACGTAAGATAATTCTTTGCCACTTCAATGAACTCGAAGGATATATCGAACAAATAGAACAGGAACATAAGAAAGAAATATTAAAGCTAATTAATGATATTTATAAAGCGGAAGATTGCATTAAAGACCTAAACCCAACGATGAAAGATTTAAAAAATAATCTTACAATATTAAAAAGCCACTTAGAAAAAATAAGTGACATAAAAAACTTTATGACTTATAACACAAAAAGATATAATAATATAAAAGATCTGAATAAGGTATTAGACAAACAATTTGGTTAATGCGAAGCGCTGGCGTGACAGACAAAAATTTCCAAATTACTTTCTTGATATGATC